TATATATATATATATAATGAGAAATTGCCACATTTCCAATTATTTTGAATAAACCGAGGAATGATGAAGAAAAAAAATTTTCAAGTATTTCTTATTCCATGGCTCTATTAAAACTAAAAGTTAGTGTAAACGCCAACTATACATATTTATCCAAAAAAATTTTAAAACACTCAGTGAAAAATACTAGAGAGGAACAAAAACAAAAGAACTTTCAAGCAGCAAAACAAACGTTAGAGTGCATCATTACAGAAAAGCTCAGTCAGAGCAAACATAATGAGCGAGTAAAATCAAACGAGCTCAAATTCAGCATAAGTAGACTATGCAGTAGCTAGCTATTTTCTTGCCTGTCTAAGACACCTCTCATCCTACAGATCATTTCCCTAACTGTAGCTTTCAATCAGAACTTTAAAAAAAATATTACTAAAACGATACTGAAAAATTACTTCGATTACGAACTGCAACAAAACGGAAAAAAGAGAGGTAACTCTAAAAAAGATCTACATTAATATGCAGATTTTTAAACAGATCATCAACGATTAGCAAACCAGTTGGCAGTACTCCGAGAGTTGTACGTGCGGGTGCAACAAGAAAGCCATCATCAGATTCCCGTACATGTTCTGCATTTTTCTGAGACGAAAGTTTCGACGATGTACTGGAAAACCAGCGACGACGGAATGCGAAAGACCAGCGCTGCTTCTGAGACGTCTTCTCTTCGGCAGCACTATGATTCCGCGGTATATCGGTGACATTTGTATCCACTGTTCGCGATCTTTTCATTCGGATACGTGATTTGGTATGACTAGTAGAAATTTACGCCAAATTGTAATATATTATCAAGCAGTATGACGATGCAAAAAAATAAATAAACAAATAAATAAATGAATAAATAAATAAATAAATATAAACAGATCAAATAATGTCACAATGTTCTACTCAGATAAGTAACAATGTTATGAAGCAATTAAAAGGCTGTCTGAATAAAAATTTTCAGTTCTAAAATGCAACTTTGCAGAAGCACAATTATATCGACTTTTTCCTCTTTAAATAACAATTATTCGTAAAGGATGATCTATTAGCAAAAAATTAAAGACAGCTGGCTCTCGGCAAATTTTCGAGAGAGAGAATAAATGACTGTAAGAATATTCACACACATACGCACAGAAATGAGAGGGCAACTAAAATACTGTTGAACGCAATAAACTTTTAGCACATTGAGTTGCCCAGCGAATCAGTAAGCTCGGAAACAGAAAAAGATGGATACAGAGAGAACTGAGGATGCACGACGGAGAGAAGGCAGGACAACTCAACTACCGCCAGTAGACGTGCTGCTCCCGTTGTTGTCAGAGCTTGAATAATATTACCGCTACTCTATCGTTCCTGCTGTTTGCTCTTTGTTAGTGTAAGCTGAACGTTTCTAGTGATAATGTGATGTTAACGCACAGTCCGCACCAATACACCATCACCTCCCATTTGGCTTTAACTTCAACAACTCTCTGTTGAATACCACGTGATTTACTGCTTCGCTCTTGCTACCTACTTATTCTGAACAAAGATCCCCACACCTCGTTTTTACTTACCACAATTATCTTATAACTCATCTATAAATCAAAAAACCTACTACAGTAACATTATGTGTAATGCAGTCTGCATTACTGTTACTTCAAAAATTCATATAACTAAAATTCTTTCGAAATAAAAACACCTAGCTCAATACAGCGAAAAATATTACCACAAAAGTTTGTACCCTCAACGCTAGACTCAAAAGAAAAACGTCACGAGAAAAGAAACGAACCAACTTTCCACCAAATACACTTTTTCAATATATTATAGAAAAGAAATTTCTATGTTTTTTCGTAATAAGCCAACGAAATAGAGATCTACGACAATGTTTGAAAAATTCCAAGCAGTTTTTAAGGCTATACATTCAAAATAATAGCTAAAACATAAAACTTCTGAAAAAGTAAGGTAAACAAAAAAAAAAAAACTAAAAAAAAGATTTTTAAAGAGAAACAAGCGATGACAATGAAGAATGCGCGACGAATGAACGAGAAGTGTGATATCCCACAGATTTTTGTTAAACAGATTTGAGCGACAACGAAAAATGCAACGAAAACATTAATTAAAAATGTCAGGGCGACCATATCTGATGTAAACAAAGGAACCCAAAGCCGATACATCAGCAATCGTCTAACAAATTCTGCTATCAGCTAAAAAAATCCTATAATTATATTTGAACTAAAATCAGTTTTTATAGTCAGCTATAATAAAAGTCTAAATGTAAAAAAACTACTGCTTCATCCTGAAGTATTTTTACAAACATCAGCCATATCATATGAGAAATATATAAACCAAAGGATGTGAACCAAATGGTTGCACTAACAAACAATAACGAACGACTGTGCTTCCGTGGCACTAAATGCGCTAAGGCTGCACAGTTATGAATACGAAAAAAAAAAAAAAAAAAAAAAA